CCTTGTTGTCTCGGATTCTCCAGCATCTGCAGTTCCTACTATCTCTAATTCTAGCTATTTGATCTTTTTGAAAGAAAATTCTCCAGTCCAGGCAACAGCCAAGCCTAGCTAGTGCTTTGTATGGCTAATAAATGCAAACAGCCCTTACGCCTTCTTGACCACCTTATCTACCTGCCCAGTCAGGTAGAAATGATGAAATGCACTCTAAAGTCCCTTTGTTTCTTCCCACTTCACATCCTATCATTCATTCTGCATTTCTTGGCCACGTTAGCCTTCCCCAATCGAATTGTCTCACATTTCAACAGATTACATTCCATTCGTCACTATTCCACCATCTGACCAGTCCACAGATATCTTCCTGCCATTGACAGCTTTCTTCATTATTAACTGCATTGTCAATATTTGTACTGTCTGCAAACTACATAACAATAACCCTTACATTCAGTCTGAATCATTGATAAATGCCACAAAATACAAAGGACTAAGCATATGGAACCACACAAAGCAGGATCCAAAAACACACGTCAAACAACTACTACTTTTTTGCAAACAATTTGCCATTCTGTGTTGGATCCCATGCGCTTTTACTTTTGTGATGGATTTTAAATGTTAACTCTGTTTCTGTCTCCAAAGATGCTGCCTGCTGGGTTTCTCCAGCAATCTGTGTTTGTTTCTCACTTCCAGCATCCATCATTTCCAGTACTGTAAGCAAACAAATTGTTGATTTTCAGATCATAGCCTGGACTCTTCATTTTTTGAGCAGCAGCAATTGGCGATGATTCTGCTGTCCCATTGACATGTCCTCTAGACCCTTTTTCTCTTGTCCCATTACCACCCCTTTTAATCATTTAATCTCTCAGCCCTTCCTTCCTAGCACAGACCTTCCTTTTTATTCTCCTTCACTTATACATAGCTCCAGCCTGCCTTTGTAATTGTTTATACAATCTAATATGTCTAACCTTTCCATTTCTGATGAATGGACATCAATCTGAAACTTAAGCTTCTCTCTACTCAGATGGGATCAGAGTAGCAGAAGTGGAACATTTAGCTCCTCAAGCTTATGCTGTTATTCAGTCAGATCATGACAGATCCGTAATTTAATTCCACACACCTTTGCCTCATATTACTTAAATTTTTGTAAACTAAAAGTACTATTAAACTTAGATTTACAGTGAGGAATGGACAGAATCCTCCCTCACTGTTATCCCAGCGCTGAAGAAGAGTGGTATTGGACTTGAAATCTTAACTGTGTTTCTGTCTCCACAGATGCTGCCAAACCTACTGAGTTTCTCCAGCATTCTCCACATTTGGTTGCTACCTAATCAGCACTACAAATATTTGTTGCAGTGAATACATTTGGCCAAGATGCCAAAAAGAGCATCTAATTACTATCACTGGATGAACACTAGAATTATGTTTCTCAAATAACTGTTAACATAATTTCAATATTCGTGAGATGAGAGAAAAATACTTTTAAATATATAGACAACATATCTCGCCTGAAGTCTGCCTGTGTAGGTAAAGCATTTGATTGCTTGCTCAAAATAAATTTTAAAATGCTTACGTTTGTAATGAAGTATTCGTTGAATTTATGAGGCTCCTGTCAGTAATCTTCTCCAGTATTAACAAGGCACTAGTTTCATGGCCCTAAATGTAATCCAAAGTGTAAATTGTCAGATGTAAACAAGAGAATGTAGGACAATGATAAACATAGTTTAAATCAGGAAGCCTGAAGCTGAGAGACTTCATGAGGACTGGAGTCATTGTTGAAGGCTCCCAGGGCAACTCCCGCCTGACTGTATACACTGTGCTGCCACCTCAATTGGGTCTGTCCTGCTGGTGGGACAGGACATATTCAGGAATGAGGTGTCTGGGACACTGACTGTAAAGTACGATTCTGACAGTATGACAATGTCAGGCTGTTGCTTGACTAGTCTGTGAGACAGCTCTCCAAATTTTGTTAGTCACCCCCATGTTAGCAAGGAGGACTTTGCAGGGCTGACAGGGCTGTTTCTGCCCCTTTTCCAGTGCCTAGGTGCCAGGTGGTCCGTCCGGTTTCATTACTTTGTTGAGACTTCGTAACTGAGTGGCTTGCTAAGCCATTTCAGAGGGCAGTTCAGAATAAACCACATTTCTCTGACTCTGGAGTCATATGCAGGCCAGATCAAATGAGGATAGCAGATTTCCTTCCCTGAAGGAGGATATTAATGAGCCAGATGGATTTTTCTGACAGTCGACTATGGTTACATGGTCATCAGTAGATTCTTAATTGCAGACTTTTTTTCTACTGAATTCAATTCTACATTCTGCTGTGGTAGGATTTGAACCCAGGTCCCCAAAACTTTAGCTGAGTTTCTGGATTAATAATCTACTGATAATACCACTAGGCCATTACCTTCCCTAATTCCTAAATTGATCAAAGAGTGGGTACTGCATTAGTCACAGGAAGCTTCAAGCAACTGATGCAGGTGTTTGTGTCAGACACTTTAAAATGTACTGTATTAGACTGTAGATGCATGTATGCAATGTGTGGAAAAGACTGGTTACAGACAGTTTGGAACAAAGTTAAGGAATTTGAGAGATTCATCAGTTTCAGATTTGAAGACAATAACATGCTAAAATGTTTAGCCTCATTCTTTAATAAATAGCCAAAATAAATCATTTTGTTAGCATAATGCAACATCCAGTGAGACACCTCTTAATGATTAAGCCATTACTGAAAAAAGGACCGCTCAAACTGGGTATAGAAAACAGCAAAGCTATTGTATTTGTAAAGTCTGTGAAAGTGAAATTTACACAGTTGGGACACGATTGTATTCTATTAAAGGAACATAACCTTTCCATTGAAGAAATTGAAGAAGTGTTATTGACATCAGGGGCTGAAAATTAGAAAATAAAGTCAACCGTGTTAAAACTACATAGTTTATTTGCCCATCTGTCCTTCCAAAGGTTTAAAATGTTAGTGAAGGATACAGAAATAAGGGACAAAGAGTACAATAAGTTTATGGAAAAAACAAGTGATAGATGTGAGATTTGCCAGAAATACCAAAGGACACAGTCACAGGTTATCCTAACTCTGCTCTTAACAAGGGATTTCGGTGAAGTTGTGGCTCTGGATTTAAGGTGCGAGATGAAGAAAAAATAATTTTGATTTTACATTTTTTAAATTGTGGATAATGTAAAAATGGAGAGAAACTACTCTTAAAGCACCAGAAAAGTTTCTCAGTGGTAATTAGTCAGGGATGGTTGAGCGTTTGCTAATGATGAATTTAAAGAACTTTAATGAATATGAAGAACATTATCATGAATATGACAGCAGAGGACACTTTTAGCAATGGGATGTGAGTAAGCAACTACACAGAAGTAGACAAAATGGTTCATAAAATTTCAGCAGAACTATAAATTCTCAGCTGCTCGAGCATGGGTTGTCCATACATGGGCTGGATAATGCAAGTGTGAACATTTTCTTGGTTTTGTTATCAATGAATGCTTGGGAATGTAGAACAATTGATGTTAAAAAGCTGCATTTCTGCAGGGAGATCAGCTCAAAAGGAAAACACCCCCTCTCCTACAAAGAGTCACCAAACACAATACCTATTTAGCCGGAATGATCGCTTTGAAGTTTGGTACATCTCATTAAGGTTTGTTTTCATAAAACTGGGCTGTCTCCAGTTGAAAGCAGACCCTACCATATTTTAATCACATTAAGGAATCAGCTTTCGGGCATCTTTATGCTGTACAAAGTTTTTTTTGTGCGACTGGAGCAGTGAATTTGCAAACATTGTCATAAGTGGGCAAACAAATAAGTGGACTAAGCAATTCAATGTTGGAAATCACGCTTCAGGAACTTTTGAGTGTATTGGATTGGAAATTAGGTAGAATGAGTGGAATGTAACTTTTCATCAGTATTTCTTTTTGGAAAATGTTAGCCTAATTGCTGTTATTCAAAGTAAAGCCTCACAATAATATGTAGCAGTTTCCAAATTGGAAGAGTCATGGAGTTTAATTGGACAGCTGAATTAGCTAGGTACCCAAATTAGGCCAGATAACACATCTGAGGTCTTAAGAGCTGAGTATGGTCATAAAAAAAAATCCCAAGATGGAAGACATATTTGGGCAAACAAAACATTAAAAAAAAATTAAAATGCAGCATTGTGTGTTGAAATTTCCATATTGGGAGATGCCAGGAAAATGAAACTTATTGTCTAGTGATATCTCTTATGCAAATCTCTGTGACAGGCTCTAAAGTACAGAGAAGTTTGTAGATTTTCTTTTGGGAATAGGAGGTACATGTTGCACTTTAGCTAAAGAACCAAAAAGATCCAGAAGGAGTAGTAAAAAGTACTTTAGCAGTGAAAATTCATGCTCTTGTTGAGGTGAAAGATATGGTGTTTTCTTAACGAAAATATTGGAAGACATTCTGAAAAGGGATTACATAGCAATATTCACTGAATTCCAAATTGATAATAAATCACTATGGGATAATATACTTTCAACAAAATGTACCAATGAAAAAAGACAGGATTGATATCATAGTTTTAAAACAAGGAGAATGAGAAATCTCCAAACTGATATAGGTAGACAGCAACACTTATCAGTTGCATAAGGAAGAAAGGAGCAAGCTCTAGGAAGCTATTAGAAATACTGGAAAAGAACTTTGGAACTTTAATATGCATTTAAAAAAACAGGACATAATACAGAGCCATTTTTTAAAACTATGTTGAGATTTTGTACAATTTTGTTGAAGTATGCTATTTTAAGAGGACGGCAATCTGTTACCATCTCGTAGGGTCTGGCAGGGATCCCTGGGACTGAATGAAACTACGGAACAAGTGATGATCATACATTAAAGGATAATTGGTTGAGAACTGGGTGTAGAAATATGGGGAACAGGAAATTAGTATTATTGCAGGGGGAGGTGTTTGGTGCAGGAAAAAAATAGGTGCTTTAAAGTTTATGGCCAGGAGTAAAATCTGCTAATTATTACACAGATTTATCATACTTGCAAGGTTTATTCATTGTTGTATGGTTTATTAGTATTCACGAGGGCATTCTAAACAATGGCAAGATTAAATAATTAAGAAAAGAATAGGTAAGAATGCAGTTACTGTGCTATGCAGTGTTTTATTGAAGATGGTTTGTTCTAATTTTGCAGGGGTATGGAAATCAGGAGACAATATCAGAGAGGAATACCAAGGTGTACAGACTACTGGCAGAAAGATAGACTGTCCGTGCATAAAGCTGACAAGGCACTGGGACTGGTAAAATCAATTTAACTCAGTGATTAGGAAATTTCTAGAAACAATAATTTAGGACAAAATTAGTAATCACATGGAAAAATGTGGGTTAATTAAGAAGGGACAGCATGAGTTTCTTAAGGGAAAATCATGTTTAACTAACTTGCTGGATTCTTTTGATGAGCTAAGAGGGGGTTGATGAGGGTAATGCTATTGACATGGTATACATGGACTTCTAGATGGAAACTGATACAATGCTGCACAGACCTGTGATCTCGTGGTAAAAAAAGGAACAATAGTAACATCATACAAAACTTGTGGGGCAGGAAACAATAACTATCTTTTTCAGGATGGGAGAAGGTTTGTGGTGGTGTTCTTGCTTTTCCTGATATATATTAATGATCTAGACTTTGGGATACAATACATGATTTTAAAAACTGATTCAAAACCAGGAAGCACTATAAATTACAAGATAGTGTAGAACATCAAAAGGACACAGTCAAGTTGGTAGAATAAATAGATAGGCGGCAGATAAAGTTTAATTCGGAGAAGTGTGAGGTGATATATTTTGGTACGAAGAACAAGGAGAGACAAGATACAGGGCACAACTCTAAAAAGGATTAAGAGCAGATGGAGCTTTATTATGTACATAAGGTATTAAATGTGGCAGGACAGGTGGCCATTAGTTCATACAGCATGCAATAAACTAACTTAATAGGGGCACAGAATATAAAGAGCAAGAGGCTATGCTTATAAAAGACACAGCCTCAGTCGGAATACTGCATCGAGTTCCGAGCACCACGTGTTAGAAAGAATGCGAATGTGTTGAACAATGCAGAAGATTTTACAAGAATTGATCTCGGAATGAGGAATTTCAATTATGGAGATAGACTGGAGAAGCTGGGACTGATCTCCTTGGAGAAGAGAAGGCTAAGAGGAGATCTGATTGAAGTATTTAAAGTCATGAGAGGTGTGGGCAGGGTAAATGAGGAAAAAAATGCTTGCACTAGTGAAAGGAGAGGAGACAGATTTAAAATTTATTTTATAAATTAATTAATTAATTAATTTTTAAATTTTTTTAATTCATTGATCATAGTGGGAAATTCAGTGATGATGATATGTTGAATGTCATGGATGGTGGTTGCTTCTTGGAGATGGTCATTGCCTGGCATTTATGTGATCTTGCTGCATTTGGACTGCTTCAGTATCTGATGAGATGTGATTGGTGCTGAATATTGTGCGAATATCCCAACTTCTGATCTTATGATGGAGAGAAGGTCACTGATGAAGCAGTTAAAGATGTTTGGGCTTAGGACACTATCCTGGAGTTGAGATGACTGAACTCAAACAATTACAACCGTCTTCCTATGTGTAAGGTATAACACCAACCAGCAGAATGTTTGCACCAATTCTCATTGATTCCAGTTTTCCCAGGGCTCCTTGATGCCATACTCAGTCAGATGCCATCTTGATGTCAAGGGCTGTCACTCGGAGTTCAGCTCTTTTGACCATGTTTGAACCAATGTAATGAGGTCAGGAGCAGAGTGGCCCTGGTGGAAACTAAACTGGGTATCACTAAGCATGTGCTACTTGATAGCACTGTTAATGACACCTTCCACCAACACTAAGTAAAAGAAGCAAAAAAAGTGACGTGAGGAAAAACGTTTTCACTCAGCTAGTAGTCAGGGTCTGGAATGTGCTGCCTCTCAGTGCAGTGAAAAAGGCTCAGTCAAGAACTGAAATGGAAGAATGTGCAGGGCTATAGGGAGAAATCAGGAGAATAGCACTAAGTGACATGCTCATTTGCACAGCCAGTGCAGATATGATGAGCTGAGTATCTCTCTTCTGCACTGTAATAATTGTGATTTTGAGATCTTTCTGGATTAGCTGAAATATACAGAAGTGGAAAGGTTAGGAGGCCGGCCAAGGTAGTATCATAATAGTTATATTTAGTGCTCATAAAGGCATGAACGAGGGATTCAGCTGGAGAGGAATTAATGCAGTACTGTAGAATACTGATGTTGAGATAGAGGTAGTCAGACTTGTACAATACAACACAGGAACAGGCCCACCTAGTCTGCGCCAATTCCTAATCCTTATTTAAACCAACTACGTATTGCCCATGCACATGTCTATCCCTCTATTCGCCTCCTGTTCATGTGTCGATCACGATATGCCTTCAATGGTGCTAATGTGCCTGCTTCCACCACCTCCATTGGCAGTGCATTCCAGGTGCCCATCACCCTTTGTGTGAAAAATTTCTCTTGCACTTCTTGCCTATATTTTCCCCTCTCACCTCTCACCTGGGTTCTCTTGTAGTTGACCCTTCCACCCTGGGAAAAAGCCTCTGACTAGCCACCATCTCTATGCCTCATAATTTTATAGACTTCTGTCAGGTTGACCCTCAGCCTCTGTCTTTCTGGGCATCAGAATGGCACACAAGCCCACATCAGCCCTACGACAACTGCTCACCCGAACTAAAGACCCACTCCCCGCCATGGACAGGACCAATGTCATCTACAAGATCTCCTGCAGAGACCAAGAGAAACACTACATCGGACAAACAGGAAGGAAACTAACAACAAGGGTACACGAACACCAACTGGCTACAAAAAGACATGACCAATACTCACTCATCTCAATCCACATGAATAAGGAGAACCACCAATTCGACTGGAACAACACCAAAATTCTGGGACAAGTTAAGCAGAGACGGACACGGGAATTCCTAGAAGCCTGGCACTCCATGAAGCATGCTATTAATAAACACATAGAACTGGACCGCATATACACTCCACTACGAAGGAAAACCGGAAGTGAGGCAATCCAGCTCAACGGACTCCAGAGTTTAAAAAACAGGTGGGAAAACATACCTAAGCTTCATCAGAGGCTGCACTGAGGATGTTACCCAGCGAAACAACAAACCAGCTCAGCGAGCCAACCAACCTCAACTGTAACATAATTTGCCAACTTTTGTATTTGATGCCCCTACCAATGAAGGCAACTGTGCTGAGTACCTTCTTGACCACTTATCAACCTGTGTCATCACTTTCATGGATCCGTGGACCTATAGCCCAGATACCTTTGAATGTCAACACTATTAAGGCTTCTGCTGTTTATTGCATAATTTGCACCTGAATGTGATCTTCCAAAATGTATCACCTCACATCTATCTTGTTGATAGAAGGGGCATGGAACTGAAAACTCAGCTCAGGGTTGAAATTGGATGCCAAAGTTGCAACCATAAGACCACAAGATACAGGTGCAGAATTAAGCCATTCAGCCATCAAGTCTGTTCTATGATCTGTTTCTCAACCCCATTTCCCTGCCTTCTCCCCGTAACCCTTGATCCCCTTACTAATCAAGAACCTGTCCATCTCTGTCTTAAATACACTCAATGACTTGGCTTCCACAGCCTTCTTTGGTAATGAATTCCACAGGTTAGCCACCTGCTGGCCCAAGAAATTCCTCCTCATCAGTTCTCAAGAGTCTGTGCCCTCGAGTCCTAGTCGCTCCTGTTAGTGAAATATCTTCTCCACATCCACTCTATCCAGGCCTCTCAAAATTCTGTTGGTTTCAATGAGATCCACCCTCATCCTTCTAAATGCAATCGAGTACAGACCCAGAGTCCTCAAGTGCTCCTCATAAGACAAGCCCTTCATCCCCGAGATCATTTTTGTAAACCTCCTCTGGACCCCCTCCAAGGCCAGCACAGATACAGGGCCCAAACAGTCTGGTTCAGCTTCAGTGAGTGACCAGGGAATGCCTAAATTACAACAACATATTTAATTTATTTAACAAAATGAACAATTGCCAATGGTCAATGCTATAAAACTGAAAAGATCTGTTTCATATTTGAGATCCTTTAAGTTTGACACTCACCTTGCTACAAGCCAAATGGAGGGCTGTGTTCTTGTTCATATCCTGCAGGGTCAAATTGGCCTTTGCACTGCTGACTAATACTTCTACAAAAGAACCAAAAATGCAAATTATTTTAATTTTCAGCTCAAAACTGGCTTAAAATGAAAACCCCATGAATGAGAGTCCCATTTATTACACTGGATTCTACCTTCTTTAGAACATTTAAAAAGGGCAGAAGCATTTGCTACATGTTCAATCCTACAGCATGTCTCTGGGTGGCTATACTGCCTTTAGACCTGATATATATAATGATTACTATTTACGACATCTTGAATTAAGAAGCATCAGTTGAGGTAAGTTTAGAAACAATAAAATTACAACAAAGTATTGAAGACAAATAATATATCGACTTTGCTAATCAAGAAAAGTACAGATAAACAAATTATGCATTTTACAATTGGGTCCAATAGGAATCACAGAAGTGTAATGCAGAAAAGAGCAGGTCAAATGGCTGTCGAGTCCATAACATTTTTCTGCAAAGAGAATTCAGCGATGCCAACTCCCATAGACCTTTTCCCCTTCAAGCATTTATGTAATGCCCTTTGAAGTAACAATTAAGTCTACTCTACCTTGCTGTCAGGCAGTTATCAGAACATAACCACTACAGCATTAAGAAGTTTAGCCTCATGCCTCATTGATAAGTCCCCAGGGTCCAATGGTATCTACCCCAGGGTTTGAGAGACGCAAGAGAAGAGATTTCTGGGGCCTTAACCAAGATCTTTGTATCCTCACTAGCCACTGGAAAGGTCCTAGAGAACTGACGAGTAGCTGATGTTGTTCCTCTGTTCAAGAAGGGAAATACGGATAATCCAGGAAACTACAGACTGGTGCGTCTTACATCGGTGTTTGGGAAGCTACTGGAAAGAATTCTTCTGGATAAGATTTATGCACATTTGGAAAAGCATGGCCTAATTAGGGGTAGTCAGCATGGGTTTGTACAGGGCAGGTCATATCTTAATAACTTGATTGAATTTTTTGAGGAGGTGATAAAGGTGATTGATGAGGGTGGAGCAGTGGATGTTGTTTACATGGATTTTAGTAAGGCTTTTGACAAGGCTTATCCAGAAGACTACGATGCATGGGATCCGTGGTGACTTGGCAATGTGAATTCAGAATTGGCTTGTCCATAGAAGGCAGAGAGTAGTGGTGGAAGGGTGTTTTTCAGGCTGGTGGCCCATGAATAGTGGTGTTCCACAGGGATCTGTACTGGGACCTCTGCGGTTTGTGATATATATAAATGACTTGGATGAAAATGTAGATGTGTGGGTAAGTAAGTTTGCAGACGATGCAAAGATCGCTGGAGTTATGGACAGTGTAGAAGGTTGTAAAAGGATACAGCGGGATATAGATCAGTTGCAGATCTGGGTGGAGAAATGGCAGATGGAGTTCAATCTGGGTAAGTACGAGATGCTGCACTTTGGGAGATCAAATGTTGAGGAAAAGTATGCAGTTAATGGCAGGACTCTGAACAGCACTGATATACAGAAGGATCGGGTGGTAAAAGTGGTGTATGGCACGCTTGCCTTTATTGGTCGGGGAACTGAGTACAAGAGTCAGGATGTCATGTTGCAGCGCTATAAGACTTTGATTAGGCCACACGTAGAGTATTGTGTTCAATCCTGGTCGCCACATTACAGGAAGAAAGTGGAGGCTTTGGAGTGTGTGCAGAAGAAGTTTACCAAGATGCTGCCTGGATTAGAGGGTATGAACTATAAGGAGATGCTAGAAAAACTTGGATTGTTTTCTCTGGAGTGGCGGAGGCTGAGGGGAGACTTGATAGAAGTTTATAAAATTATGAGATGCATAGATAGGCTTGACGGTCAGAAACTTTTTTCCAGAATTGAAATATCTAATACTATGGGGCATGCATTTAAGGTGAGGGGTGGGGGGCAAAAGTTTAAAGGAGATGTGAAGTTTTTTTACACAAAGAGTGGTAGGAGTCTGCAACACACTGCCAAGGATGGTGGAGGAGGCAGATACAATAAGGCAGTTTAAAGGACTTTTAGATAGGCATATGAATATGCAAGGAATGGAGGATATGGACCAAGGGCAGGCAGAAGGGATTAGTTTAATTTGGCGTCATGTTCGGCACAATATCATGGGCCAAAGGGCCTGTTCCTGTTCTGTACTGTTCTACGTTCTATGTCATCTTCGGTTCTTTTGCCTTTTACCTTAAGTCAGTATTCCCTGATTCCAGTTTTCTCCTGCCAGTGGGAACCATATTTTCCTCTGTCTAGACATCTCTGGCTAGAATGTTTCTGGCATTGGGGTTGCAGGCTGAGCAGTAGTGACTGTGAAAACACCAGGATGCCGCAACAGGATGGCTCAGATATTTGCATCTCTGGATGAGTTTTCCTATTGGCAGGATCAATACCAAATCGGCTGCCTGCCAATTGGAAATGAGCAGCCTATTTAAATAATGGAGGCCATATGAGAGAATATCTGAAAAAAGATGTTTTGTCTTTTAATTTTGTACTCAAGTTAATTCATAAGAAATACCAACATAAAGAGAAGCAACATTTATATTGTACGTGGACAGAATATCGACTGAATTCCAAGTGGACTTTGGTTCATTTCTCATGGCAATGCTTCGACCAGAGTCTTAAAAAGTAAACGTTGGCAGTTAACTGTCAGTCAACATCTAACGGGTGCACTCTCCACAGCAATGGCTCTACCAATCAGAATCTGCCAATGAATCAGCGGTCTCTTCTGATGCAGTATATATGATGGAGTCTCTTTACAGTGGTATTTCTTGCAAATTGTCTTGATGTGTACACAACAAAGTGTCTTTTTTTCAGAAATATTCAAGTTCTGCACTACCTAACAACTATATACACTGTAAGAAGCGCTTTCCCACACTGCCCTAATTTACCAACAGCAAAGCAGTCTCTTGCCACCTGGGATGACTGTGGTTATGTGTAACTATCTGGGGATGGTCATGGGGGGGCATCAGAGGCAAAAGCGCCATTACTCAGACAGAGTGCAGCATATCCTGCGGTTTCAATCGGCTCCCCAGAGGGTTTACCTTATCTTAGAGGGTATAATGTTATTATGACCCTCTCAATCCCCACACTGCCTCTGACTGTTGGCGCAGGTTTGGAGGGCCAAAGGGCCTGCCCCTGTGCTGTATTGTTCTTTGTTCATTTCCTACCCCTCTTAATGAGGCAGTTGAAGGTTTAATAATGCATTTCCTCTGATTAGGCTAGCAATATGGGGAACCTGCCTTAATGCCTTTAATTGGACAGGCAGGTGAGAGACAGTCAATTGGAAGGCCACATGTTAAAGCTGCCAAGTCAGTCCCAATATCAGATTTCTTATTTTCTCCTGAAACTCTCAATAAAATCCTGTCACTCACAATTCTGAACACATCAAATTCCTTTTCAAACTCTTTCTGCTCTAAAGATAACAATTCAGCTTCTCCAATCTATCTATCTATCTATATTAATACTCTCATTACTGGAACTATTCTAGTAAAATCTTTCCTGTATCCTCTCAAAGGCCTTCAATATTCTTCTTAGAATGCGACCTCCGAATTGGGCACAGTGCCTCAGTTGGGACCAAACCAGTGTGCTGCACAGGTTTATCACAATGTCCTTGTTTTTGCACTTTTATATCCTGACTTATAAAGCACAAGAATTCTCTATGTTCCATTTTCCCAAACCACTTTGTCAACCCACCCTGAGAATATTATATCTCCATGTGCCTCTATTCCTATACCTTGTTTATTATATTACTTCTCTTCTTTCCTCCAATCAAACCATATTACATTGTACTTCTTTACAATAAATCTCACCTGCCATGACAGTCCATATCCTCTTGATGTCTATCATCATAGTTGAAAAGAAATAAATAATGTACTTACCAACTGCATTAGTTTGTCCATTCTCTGCTGCCATCATTATTGGTGTTTTCCCAGTTAAATCTGCAGTGTTTACTTGAGCATTATGGCTGAGTAGAAGTTGTAAACATTCAACATGATCTGTGAAAGCTGCTGCATGAAGAGGGGTTCTGTCATAAATAAAACAATGAAGTTACAATTGTTTACAATGTCTATTCTCTTTCTTCCAACATCAGAAAGGCTAAGTTACTTGCTGGGTTTTCGTTTAAATCACTGCGTTATTCCACGCACATAATATCTGAATACAGTTTAAAACATCTTATCTCTTCGCAGATTTTCCCCAGTCTATTACAAAATTAGTGAGAATAGATTTATACAGTACTTCGAGGTCTTTTACGAACATCTCAAGAAATCATACACCAAGTACAAGGAATAACCGCATAAAAAATGATTTCATTGATGAGATAAATTGCTAGTTAATCTGTCTTTGTGGTTTTGAAGGAATATTGGTCAAAAAAGACATTGAGGAAATTTGAGGATTGAGGAAATTTTGCTGCTCTTCAATTCGTAAAGACTTGAATCACTGAAATAGGGAAACAAATATAAAGACTTATCCAAGAACTGCAAGTTAATAAGTTATCTCGTTCAGACAAAATGCGTCCTAGGTTGTTGAATGAAGCCAAGGTAGAAACGGCAGAGGCATTGATCATAATCCTTCAATTGTCATTAGATACAGCAGTAGTTTCAAAGAATAGGGAGGGGAACAAGGAAGGGGTGGGTTGCTATTACTACACTATCAAAGGAACCAGGAAACCACAGGCCAGTCATTCTAACATCAGCAGTGTGATGCCACTGGAAACATTATCAGAGACAAAATAAACTTTCACTTGCAAAAACAACAGATTAAGATGAGCCAGCATACAGTCATAAAGCACAGAAACAGACCCTTTGGTCCAACTTGTCTGCTCTGACTAGAAATCCCAATCTGATCTAGTCCTATTTGCCAGCATTTCGCCCATATCCCTCTAAACCTTTCCTATTCATGTACCCATTCAAATGTCTTTTAAATGCTGCAATTTTACCCATCTCCAATACTTCCTCTGGCAACCTGTTTCATATATGCACCAACCTCTGTGTGAAAAAGTTAACCCTCAAGTTCCTTTTAAATCTTTCCCATCTCACCCTAAACCTATGGCCTCTAGTTTTGGACTCATCTACCCATAGGAAAAAGACCCTTGCTATTCACTCTATCCATGCCCCTCATGATTTTATAAACCTCTTGAAGGTCAACCCCAGCCTCTGATGCTCTGGGGAAAAAAGGTCCAGCCTATTCAGCCTCTCCTTATGACTCAAACCCTCCAGTCCTGGGAAGATGCTTGTGTGTGTTCAGATAGGAGTACAGAATTGGCTCAGTGACAGGATGAAGAGGGTGCTGGCCGATTATTTTTGTGGCTGGAAGGTACTTTCAGTCGTGTGCGCAAATGGCAGTTTTGGGTCCATTTTTATATTTGATCCTAAACCTGGGTGCAGGGATAGCATTGCAATGTTTGCAGATGTTACAGAACTCGACAATTTAGTAGGTAGCAATGAGGATAGTTGCAGACTTCGGATCACTGATAGAATGGCTAACGAGTCATGAATGTGGCAGATGAAGTTCAATGGAAAGAGATGTGAAGTGATGGGCTTCAGGTGGACCATTACAGGAGAGACACTATGCTACAAAGGGCATGATTTAGAAGAGTACAGATGCACACAAACCCTTATATCTGACCTGGAAAATTGATAAGGTACTTTACAAAAAGATGTATTGGTTGATAGATTGAGGAATAGAACATGAAAGCTAAGAGATCACGCTAAAACTTTATGAATTATTAGTTAGGCTTCAACTGGAGTTCCATGGACAACTCTGGGCACTACATTTCTGAAGATGTAAAGGCATTAGAAAGGGTACACGAGGAGCTTATCATGTTATAATCTGGAATGAGGAATCTCTGTTTCAAGGGAAACAGTTCTAAATTTTTACACGACTGAATATGTAGATATATTTTAGGGAGAAAACTATTTCCTCTGGAGAGTAAATCATTAACCACAAGTCAAAGATTTAAAACAATTTTGTAAAAATCAAGATGAGAGCTGAAGATTGTTTTCCACTCAGTTGTTTCCATCTGGAACATTCCATCTTAAAAATTGGTGAGAAGCTGATTCCATGAATAATTTTAAAATGGGTAGGATAGGTTCTTGAGGATGAGGAACTTAAAAAATAAAAATGGAAAACAGGGATGTGGCCAAAATACTGCTACATTTTCAAACAGCCAGCAGTGGCACAATGGAGTTAGTGGCCTCTCTGTGCTGTACAGTTCTATGGTAAGTCAATGCCATCAAAAATGCAATATTCATTTAATGCAATATCCCTTGGAGGTGTGAATTTATTTGCTCAAATCCAAGTATGGAGCTAAAGCCTACAATCTTTTGACGCACATGAATGCTGACAACTGAATAAAGGTGAAATTCGTATATGAATCTTTAAAAAGTTATATTCTGAAATAACAAGTTTAGCTACTGAGAGAAATGTAGAACTGTTCACTGCCACTACAAGAAGTGTTATTGGAATTGCATGCACGTAATTAAAAACAGTTGGTTAAAGTCATGCTTGGTTGTTTGGGTTTAAAAGCTAATTCACCCTAAAAATGTTCTCCTCAAAATCTTGACCAATAACTCTAACCCCAAAGCAAAAGATAGTTTTACATACAATATTGGATTATATCACTAATTTGGATTGACACAGCCCTTTTCAACCATTTCATATCCCCTTAGAATACTAACATTGTCTTCTTTCTGCTGAATCTGAGTGGACGAATTTTGAGAACCTAACTGAGCAAAGTGAAGATTGGTTGGTTACACTTAATAGACAACAAGATTCACTCTGCTTTCAATGGGCATACAGGGATTAAATATGAAAAAGAAAATTCCATTACCTTCCCTTTCCATCTGTAGAGTTTACAATACCAGCACCTAGAACATCTATTAACATTTCTGCTGAACCTTCATTGTCATTTATTCTGAAAGGGAGAAAAAAAAGTACCGGATGAAATATACATTTATTTGGACACTTACTAATAATTGGGATTATAGCGATTATGGAAAAACTAAACTTACACGGCACAGTGCAATGGATTAAAAGAGTTACCATCCAGTTTTTGAAAAACCTCCTGTTCCAGCAGAAGTTCAACACAGGTATCATGACCTGATGAAGACAAGAAAGCTCTTTATACCACTTTGTAGTTTTACACATGTTTCAACTTGTAGAAATGCTGCAGTCGTACTCTCAAGGATGTATTCGTTATAAGACATTGCAATTACAAGTCCATACAATAATATCTTTAGTATTATGTGCGCAGATCCAACGGCCAAATAAAAGAAGGAAAATGTGTTGTTCAGCTATTTTGTGTGTATTTTCTGCAGGAATAAAATATTGTGTAAAGGGATATAACATTCTTTTAAGAAAAGACAAAAAATTCCAGGAAATATTAAAATTACCTGGATTTTATTGATGTAGTGATAATTAATTTTGAGCACCAATATTAAAAATAATCATTTTAATGCCTTGCTTGAGCAGCACTAATTTCTGTGAGAAGATGGAAATCTCTGCAATAATGAAAAATCAAAATATGTGATTTCATGAAGTGATCCATCCAAAGGAGGCATTAGTAAAGGAATCCGAGGTTATCATTGTTCTCCAAAAGGATCCTGGGAATTGGGAGTAGCTTTTGTAATGGAGAATTAGGCTCAGTAATATTTAATGTTGTCCAAACAAATCTGGTGTTGGAGGATCACTCAAGCCTGCACCTCCTGATACACAGATAAGTGTCTGTATATAAATTATTTGGAGAAATTTTATTTTTCTAAGACACAGAGGTAAGATTTGATGGGTGATGTCGACGGTGAGTGATCCAAGAACATTAATTCTGGCCATGGAGGGATTTTCTTGTGAGGAAAGGCTGAGTAGTTCGGGCTTCTACTCATTGAAGTTTAGAAGAACAGCTTATTTAACCACATAAGATCCTTAGCAGATTTGACAGAGTAGACAGTCTAGGACTAGAGGGCATAATGTCAGAATAAGGGCTTGCCTATTTAAGATAGAAATGGAAGAGAAATTTTTCTCTTAAAGGACAGTCAAATGTGGAAATTTTGTTTATTCCAATGAGGTCTATCGAGGCTGGATAGGCAGATTTTCAATCAGTATGGGAATCAATTGTTATGCTCAATTTAGTTTCTTAGTAAATTTCAATGACAGCTTTCATTGCATTTTCAAATTAACAGCTCCTTAACTACCTAGGTTTACTACCTAGGTGGACAATGTTACATTGAGCCATTTGTAATATGCCATTTTTGTTTATAAAGGTGCACAGAATAGTAGCTAGAAGATACAATTATTCAAGTACTATCCTTTTGACAAGAGAGTACTACTCCATTTTGTGTAATCCATTAAAATGAGAGGAAAATGTTCGTAATCACACATAAAATTCAAAAGCACTTGATGAATAACTTTAACTTTACTGGTTCTACAGAATTACATTGGAGGTACATGAGCATGTGCGCAAAGGTCCAGACAGCAGAACTGAAGCAAAAAAAAATCACAAACCTTTAAGTGCTAATGGCGTATAGCATGAAAATACCATAGTTTAATACAAACAAATCTAAATGGAGGAAACTATGATGGTATGAGAAACGAGTTTATGATAGATTGGTGAACGATACTTAAAGGAATGGTGATAGAAAGACAATAGCAAACTTTCAAAGAATACACAGATTAACAGTGACAATTGCTCATTCCTGTCTAGTGCAAAAGTAAAATGAGAAAGGTGACTAATGCAGGGCTGACAAGAGAAATCAGAGATAGTATCAGGTCTAATGAAGAAATGTACAAATTGGACAGAAAAAGAAAAGACCTGAGAAGTGGGAGCAATTTAGAATTCAGCAAAGGAGGACAAAGGGAAAATGCAGGGAATATAAAAACTAACTGTAAAATTTTCCATGAGCAGGTGAAGAGAAAAAGATTGAAGACAAATGTCTCTTACAGTCAGAAGCAGGAGAATTTATAATGGGGAACAAAGAAATGGCTGACTGACTAAATACTTAGTTTGCTTGCATTCACAAAGAAATACACAAATAACATACCAGAAATGTTGGGGAACAGAAAAGTTTAGTGAGAGGAACGGAAGGAAATCAGTATTGGTAGGGAAATGGTGCTGGGGAAATTGATGCGATTGAAGGCAGATAAATCCCCAGGCCCTGATAATCCACATCCCAGAGTACTTAAGGAAGTGGCCCTAGAAATGGTGGAAGAAGTGGTGGTCATCTTTCAAGATGCTATATACTCTTGAACAGCTCCTGCAGATTAGGGAGTAGCTAATGTAACCCCTCTCTTGTTGAAAAGCTAGACAGAAAGAAAACCGGGAACTACGGGCTAGTCAGCCTGATGCTGGTAGTTCGGAAAATGCTACAGTCCAATATAAAGTAATAAATAGCTGAGCATTTGGATAAGTGGCAGGATCACACAGTGTCAGCATGAATTTATGAAATGGAAATCATGCTTGACAAATCTACTGGAATTCTTTGAGGATGTAACTAGTAGAACTGATGAGGGGGAGCCAGTGGATGTGGTTTATTTGGACTTTTGAAAGGCTTTCAAACAAAGTAACACATCAGAGACTAGGGCATAAAATTAAAGCGCATTGGATTGAGGATAGTATTTTGAGGTGGATAGAAAACCAGTTGGCAGACCGGAAATAAAGACTAGGAATAACCAGGTCTTGTTCCAAATGGCAGGCAGTGACTAGAGGGGTACTGCAGAAATCAGAGATCAGGACCCCAGCTATTCACAATATATATTATTGATTTGGTTGAGGGAACTAAATGTAATATTTCCAAAACTGCAGATGACACAAAGCTAGGTGGAAGAGTGAACTGTGAAGAGGATGCAGAGATGCTTCAGTGATTTAGACAAGCTGAGTGAGTTAGTAAATGCACGGCAGATATGTATAATGTGGATAAATGTGAGATTATCCACTTTGGTAACAAAAACAGGAAAGCAGATTATCTGAATAGTTACAAATTGAGGGGGGTGGAGGGTGGTGATTGTGCAATAAGACGTGGGCGTCCTCATATACCAGTGGCTGAAAGTAAGTATTCAAATGCAGTAGACGGTCAAGGAAGCAAATGGCATGTTTGCCTTCATAGTGAGAGGATATGAGTAAATGGCAATATCTTGCTGAAATTATACAGGCCATTGGTGAGACCACACCTGGAATATTGTGTGCAATTCTGGTGTCCTCATCTGAGAAGGGATATTCTTGCGAGGGAGGGAGTGTAGCAAAGGTTTACCTGACTGATTCCCGAGATAGTCGGACTTATGTATGAGGAGAGGTTGAATCAGTTAAGATTATATTCGCTACAGTTCAGAAGATTGAGAGGAGATTTCATAGAAACCTATAAAATTCTAACAGGACCAGTCAGGGTAGATGAAGGAAGATTGTTTCCAATGGCAGGGGTGTCCAGAACCTGAAATCAAATTCTAAGGATATGGGATAAACCGTTTACAACTGAGATGAAGAGAAATGTCTTCACCCAGAGATTGTTGAGCCTGTGGAATTTGCTACCACAGAAAGCACTCAAACACATTAAAAGTAGTTGTTGGATATACCACCTGGGGCTAAAGTGATGAAAGGATATGGGAGGAAATGTGGGAGCAGGCTACTGAGTGGAGGATCAGCCACGATCATAATGATTGTGCACATAGTAGAAAATTTTGGATGCAACTAAGGTGGCAGAAAATAAACTAACAATGTATACTTTATATAAAAGGAACAAACAGCTTCTATAAAATGTAATTTCTAAATAACAGAAAGGCAAGCAGCAAAACGTATATTTTTCTATAAGAAAATTAATTGTAGAACTGTCTTATTTACCATTATAACAAGCCCAGTGCAGAGGTGTGTAACCGTGATTGTCTGAAACTGTAGGAACAATATCCATCGCGGATGCAGCTTGAAGCAATGCCCCAAGTACTCCTACATGTCCGCATGCAGCTGCCAAGTGCAGGGACGTGCGGCCCTTGCAGTCCCGAATTAAAAAGTTAGCATTGTGTTGAAGCAAAGCTTCCACGCACTCTTCATGACCAGTTACTGCCTGCAAATCAAAATGTTTAAAATAACAAATCAAATTTTGTAAAGTGTACAATTATGCTGCTTATGAATCAGAGGATAAGTAACATTCTTAATGTATGCAGTTGCCATATGGATAAATTTACTTTGATGAAATAACCATATCACATTCGATGATAAACCATACAAAAAATTTATTTAGGTTTACATTTATCTTAGTGAACAAATGAACCTTTACTCTTTTTAAGAGAACTGTCATCAAGTTGATACCTCAACGAAGCATAGACTAAGAAACCAAGAGCTATTTCAAAGGTGAGAGCCAATATCTCAGACAAGAGTCAGGACATAATGTTTTGGTTAGGCCATACTCAGAGTACTGCGTTCAGTCCTGGTCACCACATGACAGTAAGGATATGGAGGCTTGGGAGAGGGTGCAGAACAGGTTTACCAGAATGCTTTCTGGATTACAGGATATGAGTTGTAAGCAGAGGCTAGGAAAAACTTGGTTGTTTTCTCTAGAGTGGCAGAAACAGAGGTGAGACTTGATGAAAGTCTATAAAATTGTGTGATGCATAGATAGGATTGATGGTCAGAATCTATTCCCCCAAAGTTGAAATGTCTAATACTAGGGGGCATGCATTTCAAGTGAGAGGGGGAAAGCTCAAAGGAGATGTGAGGAGCAAGTTTTTGTAGACAGAGTGTGGTAGGCACCTGGAACGTGCTACCAAGGATGGTGCTGGAGGCAGATATGATAGGAGTTTTTAAAAGAACTTCTAGATAAGCACATGAATATGCAAGGAATGCAGGGATATGGACAAAGGGCAGGCAGAAGGAATTTAATTTGGCATCATGTTCGGCACAACATCATGGGCCGAAGGGTTAGTTCCTGTGCTGTACTGTTCTATGTCAATTGATGGTTTTCAACTGTGAAATGAAATCCTGTGATAGAACCATGCAATGTTTTTTTTAAAACATCTTACATGTTATAGATGGTGTCTTTTTCCAAAAGAACATTTTCAGATTTCCACCTTAAAAATCATAACATATTCTTAAAATCAGTTTTGTGCATACAGTTACAATGAATCTATTTCTGTTATTTGATTTATCATATCCTTGTTTCTTCATTTCTAATTCTCTCCTCTGTGATCAGCAGCTAACAGAGAATGAAAAGTGCAATCCATGCATGGGCAGCTGAGGCTGGAGTGCAATTTTAGGCAGCAACAGGAGCCTCTTTTAAAGGTTTAGATTTCTTCATACAATACATTAGAAGTAGAACCATCAGAAACCACTAACCCCTCTGTGTAATGCAGTTCTCCCCCACTTGTCTTTGGCATCTACATTTGCACCCTTAAGAAGTGAGCACACGCAGTCCGTATGTCCATTCAAAACTGAGAGCATCAGAGGAGTTCTACAATAAACAATTCAGACCTTAGTTATATGACACATTTACATTGTTTCAGCAATTTTAAAGCAAATATTCAGCATAAGAGAATTAAACTCAATTTATCAGAGTGCATATTGTGGATATAATAAAAAGTAAAATGGACCAACAGAATAAAATATGGATGTGTTGAGAATGATAGATACTGGGAAAATATTTCCTTTTGATCTTAAATTTATAGAGTAATTAAAATGTACTACAAATAGAATTCATCACTGCTTATCATATGATTTAATTATTGTCAACTTTGTACTTCAGAGGTAGTTGTCACTATTGTGACCTTATATCTCTCAATTTATAAGCATTATTATAAGATTAAATATGATTTAAGATTATAAAATGCTATGAACTGGTCTGAAAATTTTCTACCTTAATACCAAGCTTCAGAGAGATGTAAACTAGTTGTGTATGCAGAATTTTCTTTGACCATAAAACTGTTACCTAAGCTTTAGGCATTTCCTCAGATATATCCAAAACTGCAGACAAAGCAGACTATGGTGAAGGAATGCATGTTTTTAAATTTAGTTTGTATTTTTTGAAGCAGACCATGACTAAAACAGAATCTGACTGAAAGGGAAAACACAATAGGTAAATATAGAAATAAAAGAAACCCTCTGATTTTCTAAGGGCACAAAAACACAACAACACAACTAGGGATTGAAAATTAGAACTTCTGGAAAACTAACTCTGCTCAAAGAATATAAAGGGTAGGAGCCAAGCAATAGCAGTTAGATTCACTGGTATAGCACAAGCAATCTGAGGAAGAAGTGACAGGAAGCTAAGAATAAGTTGCTGCAACTGTTTCTGGTGAAAATAACACTGCTGAATTTATACCATCGAGCGGGAGTTGAGCTGGCTCTGAAGTATGCAACCCTGACTGAGGAACCGCAAATTGTTGTGCCCTGCTGTTGGCTGGGGACCAGACTAGCTCGTAGAAGGAAAGGAGCTGAAGCTCCTTGCATGGAGGTTGGAGTTGGATGGACTTTGTGACTTGTTGAGATTACTAATGCTGAAGACTGGACTGCTAAGTTAATTTATAAGATCTGTTTTAGTTGTACAGACTATTAATTGCGCAATTTATAGTCTATAATCAACCACAAATTGCCTATTAATTCATGTTTAACATGCAGTATATGATTAGAGTAAAGAGATGATATTTACTGTTTGATTTGTTGACTTTTGCATACTAAAACTTTTTGAAACAAACTAAGGAATGTCATGGCTTCATTCTTTAAGTACAGAACTAGATTTTATATTTCTTATTTTAAAAGGTGTCATTAGTCTCTACAGAAATGAAATTACTTATACAAATTAAATAGACATAACATAAAGTAATCCTTTAAAAAAATTAAGCACGTGTCAATGATGGGAAAGCAGGTTTCTTTTACAAATGTGACTGACCTAGCATTTTAAAGCCTGTAACAGATTGTTCATACTTAAATTACCATAGACATGGGCAAATCTGCATCTGTTCTATCTTCTACAGTTTGCTTATCTCTTTCAAATCTATACCTTTTTGTGCAAATTTTCTGTTCTCCCTGTAATTCCTCCTCAAGCTGTTAAGCTTTTCTGCAGTACAGTTGGAAGTGAAGGGGCATTGTATCTGTTTCCTAACACACATTCACGTTAACTTCCAACAAGAAGTTATTAAGGGGGCAAAGATCACTTCTCAAACCTCCCAACCTCCACCCCACCAGACACGATTTGTTACAATCTGCATTGCTCAGGTACTGAATGATTTAATCAACTCAAATATCCAGGGATCACATCCATTTCCTTCAAGCAGTTTGTAACTTCAAATAATAATTTACTGAACATTTATAGTAACTGCAGACAAATACATCAAATGTTGGCCTGTCCCCAGCTGCTGTATGGCCATTCAGTGCAAGCTTAAACATTAAATATACATATAATAATGGCCATAAAGAGAAAATAGTTCACACTAAACATAATTTGTTTCTCCTTTCTCCCACAGTGAACTTCTCCTTAAACATTAATATTAAAGTATACAATACATTTGCAGAGTACTTTTTTAATGCAATGCAAAGAAAATGTCCACTTTTTCTACTGAACATTCCACTAAAGTATTTTACTCACTGTCCATTTCCATCTTGAATGTCCACTGCTGTGTAGAGGTCAGTATTCCCTATTAGGAGCCGCAGGCACTCTGAATGACCATTTGTTGCTTAAAAAAAATCGAATGGAATAATTCATGAGCAAAAGTTCATATCTTTTTCAATTAAAAATAAATCCCTGCAATGTTCAACTCCATTCACAACTTGGAAAATGAAGAAGCTTAAAGTCTGGACAACATCCAGACTTGAGCCAGCATATGCCACAACTTTCAAGTCAGATTAATATTAGGCAATCATAACCTTCATAAATAAATAAAAATGTCCAACAAATTTCCTGGATTTTCAAAGCATCACCATAAAAAATGTCTTGGGGAAAGGCATAGGCTAAGAACTTGCATCAAGTGATTCACTACATAACTCATCTACATCATTCTACATGATTCTACATCATTTCAAAGGTTTCTAAAATGAAGCGCTATCTGCTTTAGCAAAGAATATTCCTCTTTAATCTGGTTGAATGAGTCAACACTAAGTGCACCTTAAATTAGATCTTAACTATGTATACTGCTAATTTATACATAACTATTAACATATTAAAAAGGCTGCAAGTTAAACTAATATGCAGAACTCTAAAGTAATTTGCTAAGTTTGAAGTAGCAGAATGCTTACTTGCTCCCTCCCATGTTCAATTAAAATTTCATCGATGAGCCTGATTAGATATGAATTATAATAAAGAAGGTAAAATGGTTGAGGAAGAACGTACATTAGAATGGAAACAAACAACTTCCACTGAAATTTTTGACTGTTGAATTTTAAGCTCTGGAAATGAACAACTTTATCTACATTTGTTATTTTTACAAACAGTAAAAAAAAAAGAGAACTTGATTTGTGACTGTGTTCTTTTCAAAGAAAAAGCAAGGGCGAATTCCAGGACTTTGCCACTCACTGCTTAAGAAACTTTTTTCTCACAATTATCTATACCTCTTGCCTAAACTCTTGGTAGTTCTATGTCTGCTGCAACTTTTCCACAATCCTCATTATAATTTGCTATCACTCCAAATTTAGTGGCTTTAACAAATGACATTGTTCTCTCAATAAAGTTCAAATTGCTCCCTTAAGGAGCAAGAACAGTCCAAGACACAGGTCTGCTGAAAATCACTTTGTACATATTTCCAGTCTAAGAAGCTTTCCTTATTTTACACTTCACACCTGCAAGCATATTTGTTTGAAACAACTATTTATTTCACCCATTTACTTTGCATGCTTACAACTTTTTAAACATCAAAGTGAAAGAAGTAGTTTGGATCAGGCGACTATTTTTCTATGTGCTCACTACAGCCCAAATCTTCTGGTCATTGGATCACTGGAGACAGGTCATATAAATGGAGATGTGGGCGGAGTCTCTGAGAATTACTTGATGTACTGAACTGTGAGAAAATTGGTGGGCAAGTTACAACTTGCCACCTGCCTCCCATCACTCCATCTCACTTATCCTCTATACAACTGATCACCTTACTCATTCACCCCTTCACTAACATTCAAACTGGATCTTCAATCTTACTGTCTTGCAGCTCAAGTTGGGGCCCAATTCTACGCTGGGGCTTTGACGATGTTAGTAAAGCCTGGCTTGGGAGACCAAGCATGAAATGCAAAGCAGTATCAAGGGGCAACATTCCAGCAAAAGATCAATCTGACAATAATTGCCATTCTCTGGAAGATCTCAGTCACTGTAAAAATAAAAGCACCAATTTTCATATATATTTCCCTCTGGTCATGCCATTTACATATAACTATGAGATTGTGTTTTACAAGTCAATTCCTCTCAACATTGTGACGTCCAAATGAAAACTGCTTCTATGGCATAATCTTGAAAAAACACATGGAACCTCCTATGTATTTACCAAGTTCTGTTGCTGGTGAAAGTGATAGCTGGTAACTAGGTTTATCTTTGTGCTCCACTAAAAGATGCACATGCAAGAGCACATTTGGCATGGTGGCTCACAGCGCCAGGGACCCAGGTTTGATTCCACCTTTGGGTGACTGTGTGTGGAGTTTGTGCATTCTCCCCGTGCCTGCGTGGGTTTCCTGCAGGTGCTCCAGCTTCCTCCCACAAAGATGGGCAGATTGTGTGGATTGGCTATGCTAAATTGACCATAGCGGCCAGGCATGTGCAGGTTAGGAAGATTAGCCATGTAGGGTTACAGGGATAGGGTAGGGGGTTGAGTCTGGGTGGGATGCTCTCCAGAGGGTTGGTTTGGACTCAATGGTCCAAATGGTCTGCTTCCACACTGTAGGGATTCTATGATAAGGAAAGTTATGATTTTATCAACTAGAGATAGTAGGAACTGCAGATGCTGGAGAATCCGAGACAACAAGG